CACTTGATAAGTCAAACTGAGAAGACTCAATCTACAGCAGTTACTACTCGCAAGTCAATGCAAACACAATATGTTTTATCCACAAATCAGATGGTGGTTGAATCAGTTCGTTTGCAGTCCAATTAACACGCCCCTTAATTCTACAGATAAACTTTGAAATTCACGAGAAAGTTTCTTGCTAATGATCTTAGAAGACCTTCACAGTAAGAATTCAACCATGTGTGTCAGATAACCTTATGTTCATTTTCATCATTAAACCCTGTCAAAGGTGGACGGTTTCTCTGCCGTGCAGCTTCTTTGCTGCATAACAAGAAATGAAATTTGGAGAAAAACATGCGCGCGCGAGTTTAAAAAATAAAATAAATAAAAAATCCCCTGTTTTCATGACATGAACAAAGAAAAATAGAGGGAAAATAGAAAAAAGAACAGTGGAAAAGCCAGACTCCTGCGAAAGTTAGGATGTTAAAGAGAACAGAATAAGATATTTTTAGGCTACGCAAGCTAAGGATATGCCTTAAGATTCTAAAGGCTTTCATGCTGGCTCCGATTAAATTTCTTTTATACATTCACTTTAGTCAGATTGAATCTTAAGGAGGAGTTGAACTGCCAAAAGAATTTGCTTTGAACATTTGAGCATCTCCTCTGTAAATACCTATAAATGAAGGTGAAGCAAGATATTCTTCCTTTGAGAAGAAACTTCAGAAATAAAGGCTAGGAATAAATCAGAGGAAGTTGCATCATGGTCATATCACTTCATCGGTGAAAGAGATTCCAAAAATTATAACCTAATAAGGAGGGGAAAAGACTATGGTACAAAAGCAAAGAAAGGAATCAATCTCTATCCATAACCGCAAACCTTCCAAAAGCAGGTGATTTCAAAAAAACAAAAAAAAAAAACAAATCTGTAAGCAAAGCAACTATGAAACAGATTTTAAAGAAAAAAAAAACCGATCAATTGAGCCTACTATATCTTTTAAACTTGATAGATACAATTCACGATTAAGATTATTATGATATAAATTAGAAGCTTCTATCAGATTAATTTGAGAGACTAAATGGAAACGAAAATATAATTCAGTTAAAATGCTGAGAAAAGCTGCAAGGGTGTGCAGCCCAACCCGATTGAGAGTTGGGTGACATTCCCCAAATTGGTCCCCAGTCCTTTCTTTCAATTCTGAGATAGGTTTTTCTTAATACAGTTGAATCTTTATTACCTATGCTGCTAAACAATTACAGGGAAAGGAACAAAGGACATGAAATGTAACAATGTATGAAACTTTGTTTTTTAATTTTTTGGCTTCACACCGTTTTCTCCAATCTTTTTTCAAATACATTATATACAGTGCATGCCACCCCAAAATCACGTTATTCACCTAAACGATCTAAATTGCCTTTTTAGAACTGCAAATAGTTTCTGCTTTTTTCTACATGGTCATTCGGTCTAGTTTCATCCTCTTGACCGAATTTCAAACCCCAAAAAAGGCTGGTCGCCTAGGGCCAAGAGCACAGGTTGGATCCTTTTCTTCCTTATGCTTGTGTAAAGGGTACGACAGTTTTGACAAAGTTCATATATACTCCCTCTTGTCCTAAATATAAGACCTAATTAGAAATTCCACAATTAGATACTTGTATGATGTATGTAAGCCATGATAATAACACTCTAATGTAAATTATTAAAATGAGCGGTATTTTAGAAAAATCAACACATATATTTTACAAATAACTAATACTATAATTTATTTAATCTATGTGAATTAACTAACTAGTTCCAGCATTTCGTTACGGAGGGGATAATTGTTCAGGCTAAGTTCAGCACATATTACGAGAGCATAATTGATGAAAGAAAAGTATAAATGGACTCACTCGAAGCTGATAGGCTGCTGTCTGATTACGAGAGCATAATTTTTCTATATCTGTCCAACAGTTCCTCAGACACATAAACAGATTGAGGGGGAAAATCCTTGATTATCGTTGTCTTTGGTTAGGAGGTGTCTTGAGAAAGAGTAGAATTCCCACTAGATTACTTAAACTGTCCTCAAACCTCAACATGAATCTCATCCATATTTTTCTGCACAACGTTCATGTCAACCTATATTAACAGGGTCAGCACGACAACATCAACCATGGCAACATATTATCTCTCCTAAATTAAGAATAGTTGCAAAAGAACAGTTCAGTTGAGTTACTGAGTTATCAGCCAAAGATATATTTATAAAAATGAGTCTACCACAGAGAAGGATGAAGAGCTAAGGCCGTTTTAACAGATGAGAGAAGAATCTGCCAGCTATCCCATGCCACTCAATCATACAATCAAGCTCTTAAAATGCACGTGAGTAAAAGATCAGGATAACAAAATAAGAAGCTAACCAGAAAAACTATACATTAACAAGAATCAACAATGGGGCCATATATTCCAAAGAAACACATAATCAGGATTCAGGACAACGGAATTGCCAGTACATTAGCCACATTCTAACATCGAAGTTGATAACATCAAGGAAAAAACAAACTCGAAAGCTACAACCTCAGAAATGCCAATGCAATGACACCAGGTGTTTGAATGCAACTGTCCAGTCAGATAACAGATTCCTGGGCTAAATCGCCATTATCAATCTATTGCTTGCTTATCAGGTGGATAATGAAACACGTATCAATAAATGATTAGTTTAAGTAAGTCATAAACAGCCTCTAGAGCACAAAGGTAACCTAACATGCATACTGTACACCCCTTGAATGTTGTTCCGGTAGCACAAAAAATTCTCAGCAAATATTTGAGCAGAAAACATGAACCTTAAGTTCTCAGTCAACAAATCCAGGCCAAGGATTCAAACTTGCTTTGAAGCCAATTACTTTGCAAGTTTGTAGCAATGGAGACATGAACAAAGCAATTTTGCACTACAAAGTACCCATGAATGACATCCATTCCTGAGAAAAATAGAACACTCAACTCCGATGCCATCACAACCCATTCACACATGAACGAAAAGATATATCCAATTATTACAATAGGAAAAAGACAAGACACCAACCAGAACACAGATAGGCAAAGCTCAAGGATATTCAAAAAGTACACACAAATCTGCATCAATCATTAACGCCAAATAATGAAGGAGAACAAAAAGATTCGAGAGCATTACTGATACTAAATCAATGAAAGCATATTTTAAGCATTGAACTGTTTCATTAATTAAATCAAGTGCAAGAAATCATTCCATGGGTAAAAGAACAAAGATTGGTGAATGATATTGCAACGCTGGAAAACAATATCTAATAGCGAAGAAATTGATAACACGGCCTATTTCTCTTCTTTCAAACTTCAAAATAATACACACATTTTGTCTATTTATTTTGCCAATGCCCCAGAGTGATTCTAAAGAAATGTTAAAAGACAGCAACGCCTGATTCTCTCAAGAATAGTGGGAGGATACTAGTGTTTTTGCTAGCTACACTAACAATTTTATGTTTGCAAATTGGTGATGAGCCTACTACAATAACCAAAATAGCAATTTAATGGCTTGTATTTCAGATTTTACTCTCCTGCCTCCTCCAACAACAACCATAACAACAAACGTTATCTTATTAGATGGGGTCAGCTATATGAATTATACAACACCATTATACTCTATCATTTATTAAGAATTTAAAAATATTATTAATTAAAAAGTTTCGACCAACAACTTCCAAAAGTGTTCTCTTTGACTTTCATTTAACTCTCCTGTCTCCTCCAAGCTCCAAAAATAGCAACAGGCCCCGTGACCCATGTTAGTACTGAACTGCTTATAATACATAGCAACAGGCCTCATGGCTGACTACTTAAAATAAATTGCATGTGCATCACCCCATAAGGAAAATGCTTTTCTTGAGCAGCATAGTTCAGCACAAAGGAGCCTATCAACCCCAACAAAGACCTCAAAAACAGTTGTCCAATCAAGCACGCACAATTAGGCCAATAATTATGTTAGTTACCACACGATTCTATTTTCAAAACCCACTCTAGAGTGGATGCCAAGTGACATAATCTGAATGCAAGAGAAGTTGATCAATGTGGCCAACCTCTAACACCCAACATCATTGAATTTTCACACCCTATAGCTAACTAGCCTACACGCACCTTTCAAGGCTTCAAAGAAAGGTTACTCAGCTTGCATCTTGGACTAGTTCTCAGTAACGCTTTATAAGGATTTTTCAAAAACATGATCTCCTTTTTCCATTACTCATCAAAAAGATGGCACAGAACAGGGAAATGACAAATAAAATTACATCAAATTCGCGTTGTCAGACCCATCCATAGAAATTTGGATGGACAAACAATCAACCGTACCTATTCAGTTGGACTCTTCTCAGAAACGATTGCTGAAAAAAAGAACTTGTTGATTTTGTAAAACTCCACGTTGGTTCTAGGAATCCATTGTTAGCTTCCTTTCAGACTAAATTGCCCTAATAGACTGCACTTTTCAATTGTTAGTTTCGTCAACTTACATCTTAGAAAGAAATCCAGAAAGAAACAGTTATATGGATGAATTCTTTTACCAGATATAACTTATAAGATGCAGTAGAGGTTGATTTACATTCATTTTTAGCATCAGAAACCTCAAATCATCCTGAAATGGTCAAGAACTAATATATCCAAAAATGAAAATGGCCAACCACTTTCGCTTCAGTTTGATTTGCACAGAACTAAGAAAAAAGTAAACTCCTGCGTCAACTTCAGGAGAACAAGAACTACGGATCGCCTGTTTAAACAGAAGATACATGAACTGGAAGGGCTAATAAATTCTAGGTTTATTATAGTGGTGCATTAAGGCGACTCTAAGTCTAAACGATTTATGTAAGAAAATTGACTGCTACACGTCAAATGCCAACATATTTTGCGACGAGCAAGTCCTTATTCTCCTAGGATTAAGTCAATGACTTGCCGTATTCGTATAAACTTCAACAACAGACAAACCATGAACTGAAACAGTTGTTAATTATACACTTGCATTTAAACAGGCCAGTAATTTACTCACAGAAAAAAGAATAAATTAAGATTATGTACTTCATCTTTCCATCTCCAATCGACACGTGTAAATTTCCGTGTATGACAATTATCAATCGACTTCGAAGAGAATAAAAAGCTAATAACAGGCCGAAAAATAGGGGAAATTACTCAGTATTCGGAACTAACCAACATATATACAAAATCCTGGAGAATTCTGCACAATGAAGGCTGACCAACTATTTACCTAGGCATAATAAAAAACTATAATACCGTCGACCACAATAAACAACAATAAAATTAGACTTTTCTACTTTGCGGTTCAACGAAAATGTTCAGTAAGAAACTGTTTAAGCGCCAAATCAGTCAGGTCCAGACCTGGCATTCCCTGGCTCCCCCTGACAACGTTCCTGACGTACTGTTCGATGAAATCCTAACAGGAACACGGCGACACAACACTTTGAGCACCCGAGCCCTCAACCTCCACGCACCGGAGCGAAACACAGTGGAAGCGAAAACCTCCACATTAAAGGGTATAGACCCGCGTGCCTTGTCTCCATTGATAGCATCAACGACCTTCTTTTCCACAGGAGTGTTGACAGCCGAGAACGTTGCGTTCAAAGGTGTTTCAGTCTGAGTCTCCTGCTTGAACGGCAGAAGCTGCACCCTAAGAAACAGGGCGTCGTAAGAGATGGAGGACTCAATAACTTGGTAGGTGACGCTCATCTTCTTGTTGTTGTTTCGCACCAAGAAGCCGACCTGCCACGTGCCGTTCACGGACTGGGAGTTGGCAGAGAGATTGGTGAGAGAGAGAGATTCGAGGCGGAAGTCAGGCAAGGTAGGGCGGAGGACGAGCCATACGATGAAGACGATGGCACCGAAGATGACGAAGAGGCAGACGAGTGTGGCGAAGAAGGAACGGACGAAGGATCGAGTGAAGTAATTGCGCGAAGAATTGGGGTTGTAATATTGGTTTTGCGGGTACGGTGGCGGAGCGGAGTAGGGGTAGGCGGTGGCGGAAGGCGGTGCCTGGCCGCCGTTGGAGTGGTAATAGGACGGCGCCGGATAGCCGGTGGCGGGTCTGGAAGGGTCTTGCATATCACTCTCCGGAAGAAGAATCAAGGGATTGAAGGCTTGAAGGTGTCGACTGGGGATCTAAGAGCAGCCAACTAGAGAGGAGATCGACCCAGCTAAGAAACTAGAAACCTCGTGTTCTAAATTTCATTCATTACGCCGAGTTTTTCCCCATTCAAGATTACGCGGAGTTTTATTCCCCACTTTCTCGTTAATTTTTACACGTAATTTTTGGAGATTCTCTATATTTTTTGCCCCGAATAATGATGAATTGTGCGTGCGTGCGTGTGTTTTTTTTTTTTTTTTTGGCGCCCCCTGTGTGTGAACTTTTTTTTTTATTTTGGAAATTAACAAATCGGTGCCGTTTCAGTAAGATATTCACAATGTATGTTCTAAAAAAGAAAATTGTTGCACAGAGCCGTTCATGTTTTTGTTTCTCTGTTATCATAATAATTTTTTTCCGGAGTAGTCCAAAGAAAATTCTGAGCCAATTCGGCTCTTGATGACTTCAATTTTATTGATATCGTTTCATCTTATTATATAAATAGAAACACACTATTTTAGGGAACGACAAAATTCTGCCGAAGGTGTCATCGATTCGAATTGGAAATATAAAGGGAAAATCACTATCAAGTCCCATGCAACCATTTTAAATGCCCAAAAAGACCCCCAAATTCATAAATAATTGTCAAGTCCCATGGAACTTAAATGTAAATAATATTGAAGTTAAAGTTACCAAAATGGCCCTAGTTTAAAACAAAACAAAACGCACATCGCATCCCCTCCAAAAGCCATTTGATAGTTCCTTGCGTCTCCTGTGTCTCCAACCCCGAATCTAAGAAATCGATCTAGCTTCCTCCTCTGTCTGCAGCTAAGCCATTTACGTCTTTCTCCATCATTTTGAGTCTCAATTTTCAACAAAGTAGAATAAAAACGTGGCAAGGTCCAACACCGAATATTCCTCCGCATCTCCCTCAGTCCTCACACAACTCTTCCTTGTTCTCTCTTCCTTCTATAAATACGCACATCCCTATCCTCCAGCGAGCTCCCCATCGACTTCGCAGATGCAGGTAATGTGTGAGCAACTCAAAGGACAATTCCAATTGTGCCAGGAGATCGGTCGCAGTCGATTCGACACTGTCTTTCGCTGTTTCCATCGCCACATCTTGCAAATTCTTCGCCTGTTGAACAATCTCTAGGTCGCGGAACTTGGGTCGATGGAGTGGTTCAACGATGAACGGACCATGAGCAGGGTGGTGGGACGCCACATTATGTGGCGCCGAAGGTGCTCTTAGGAAGGCAGTCCAAAAAGAAACGCAAGAAAAAGCTTCAGAAGCTACTCCCCGTATATTAATCATTTTTTAAAAATATAATTTAATTCATTTTATAAGTAAGTAATAAATAAAATTATTTTATTTTTAAATTAAAATTTTTAAATTATTTTTAAAATAAAAAAATAATATTATATTTTTTTATTTAAGAGTTATAATTGAAATTTAATTTACTTTTTTATATTTATTTATATTAATATTAATAAGATTGATAAAAATAATTTATAAATAAAATCAGAGTGAATATATGTTAGATAAACAAAGATAGAATTAATATCTTTCATGAAAAAATAGAAAGAGGTCATCATCACAATCACATGCTTACGCAGTAATAATTAAAGAAAGAAGATGAAACGGGTGATGCCCATAAGTATGTTTCGTTTTGTTTCAAAATAGGGCTATTTTGATGACTTTAATCTTATTTACATTTAAGTCCTACGAGACCTGAAATCATTTATAGATTTGGGAGACTTTTGAGTATTTAAGATGGTTACATGGGACAATTTCCCGAACATAAATGAATCCGCAAGTTGGCAAAGAATTAAAGAATCAGAATTTCACTTGTTAAATCAAGTTCCATCACACGTTTGATTTGATTAATCCTTTTTTTTTTGTGCATGCAATTTAAATTTAAATTTAAACCAATAACACGTACTATTTCCTATTTAGAAGTTGTTCGAGTAAGAAAATGCCGCCGTATATTTTAATGTGATATTATTGGAACTATCGCTTAATCAAGGGGCAAGGGGTTAATTTGCATTGTGCCACGAATATTAATTTACATTTTACAGTAGTATAAAAAATAAAAAAAGGAGCGAGAAAACAAAATAAATAATTTCGATCATGATGTTTTGTGACAAATAGAATCACATAGTTCTGGAGAAGGAATATTCTGGAGACATTGGAGATGGATGACGATGACCCATTAACGTTAGTAATTAGAGAAGTGACCGCAGAACACGATTTTTTGATTTTGAATCGCCAGTTTATGCAATATATTATTAGCATGATCCATGATTTTAAAAAAAAATTGAAATGTCCTATATTTTTTTATATTTATATTATAGTGTATCGGTGATATTTACTTCCTCTTATTACTTTCAGCACAAAAGACGTTTTCACCAGAATATGTTTTTTCCTGAAAGATATCGTTTTGCATGCTTTGTAATCTTGAAAATAGGTGACAAAAACTAGTGATAAGATAAGGCCCATTGACATGATAGGATGATGGGCTTACACAATCCTTATAGCAGACCGCTTCGGGCGTATATTACAGATGCATGCATAGTTTGATAATTTTTAGAGAAAAATATTCTCTCTCTTTTTTTTATTAAATCCTTCTGGTTTACCCGTTGGAGACGTTAATCATTTTGTTAATTTGATGCTATGCTCGGCATTGGAGAAACGTCAGTGGGGGAATACAAGTGAGGGAGCAAATTGAGGATAAAATAACATCTTTCCCTACTTGGCTATGAGAAAAAAAGTAGAGAAAAATGGGAGAAAAATAACATATATGATTTATATATTTTTATCTTCAACTTTTTTCTTTAAATATCAAAGACCTTGAAGAGAAAATTTCATTTTAAAATTACCCATCAATTTCCAATTTTTATATTTGTAGTGTAGTTATATTTTGATCATAGACTTTTATAAAACAATTAATATATTTAACTAAATAATATTTTCAAACAAATTTAACAAATATTTAATAGCATAACTACACTTTATATCCTCTTTTTATCATGCCCGGATGCCAAATCACTGGGCTAAAAATGAGTTGGATCAAGCTATATACCACTAACTGGGTTTAATGAAAGCTTATCATGTAATAATAATTAACCTGACAAAAATTCCTAAGGGATTAAGGGATTAAGAGTCATTTCTATCTCTAAGTTATACATGAAAGATCCCAAATATTTTTAAATTTTATCATGAATTAATTTTGTCTCTCAACTTTAAAATTTTTTTCTGTTATCATCCTAACGTTAAAAATATTTAATGTTTATAAGTCATAGATAAGTTTCACTATTTTTTAATATTTTTTATCAGATTAAGAGTCATTTTTATCTCTTAACTTCTATTCAAAGGGTAATTTTTTTCGCTTCAACTCAAATATTTTATAATAAAAATATAATGCAGGGTTCACTAATAATCAATTAATTGAGAGAAAATGATAAGGTGATGAGGAAGGAAATATTTAAAATTGAGAGATATAATTGACTCATAGTTGAGTGTAAGGACATTTACGACCTTTCGTGTATAGTTTTGGGATAAAAATGACCCTTAAACTTATATTAAAATACCCTGACAAGTCATGCATGATTTAAACAACCGAATAATAATTTCTTATCATAATACACATGTATAAACTTTAACCTACTTGACAATAATTCTAAACAAATATATATAAGTGTTTATTTTGAAAAAAATTATAATTTTTCAAATAATAAACAATATATAACCGATCATACACACACATCACAATGCATTAATAATGACTACCTTATGTCTTAGACAATAAGTTCTCCTTCACAACCTCTCTTTCATCACTTTCTTTGTCAATATAATCCACACAGTTATTCTACAATACCACATATTAATTTTACATTAAAATTAATAAATAACTCTAATTTAAAAAGTTAAAAATTTTTAGGTTTAAGGCTTAGATTAACATTAATTCAAGGTTGGTGTCTCATTTAACTTTTTTAAATTTTTTTATAGAATTTTCATACCTCAATGAAGTATATTTAAGCTTGAAACTCCTAATATCATAATTTCATCAATTCATATTTCAAAAATTCATCCAAAAATAAATTTAAAAATTAAAAATTATTCTCGAGCCTGAAATTACTTTTCTACAGTCTTAAAAATATATATTTCAGTTTAAATAAATATTTAATAATCAAAAATTCACCCCACCATCTCCTATTCAACATAAACTATACAGGTCTCAAAATTTAACTAGAAAATTCTTAAGTTTGAATTTCAACTTTAAAGAAATATCTTATAACATTTATTACATCCCTAACAACCTCAACATTCATTTTAAATTATCATAACTTCAAATTAATACTATTCTTATTCTATTTATATAGTAGAGAGAAAAAAAATTTTTAGTCCTATATATCAGTCATGTTATTAAATTTTTATTACAAATTTTTTCTTTTATTTTTCATTAAATGTTAGAAAAAAAATATGTTATTAAAGTGTGTATATTTAATATGAATAAAGTTAAAAATTTATTAAATTTTAAAATAAAATTAATGAGTTTTAAAATCTTTTTTAATGCTGATGAAATATATTAAAAATGACCTATAAATAACATTAAAAAAAATCTTAAAGAAAAGCCTTAATTCTTAAATTTGTTCTATCACCCTCAATATTTATACCATTAAAAAAATTTTGTTGTATAAGATAATTTTCGTGAAGAGATTTTTGGGATTAATAGTGGTTTTGAGTACTTAAATAATTTAAAAATTTCAATATTCAGATGAAAATGGCGGATGCGGACTGGACCGAAGAAGAAGACGACGAAGCCCATTTCTCTCTCCGTGCGAATGTGAAAACAAATGGAGGGGGAATATACCATGAAATGGAGACGTGGGTCCCACATCTTCATTTCTTCTTCTTTTTAACATATAAATTCTATTATATTATAGATTTTATATATATATATATATATTATTTTTTATACTTATTTATTTTATTTCATATTATATCTTACTATTATTATTGTTATTATTACCACCACCACTACTATTATTATTTTATTTTTAAATTATATTATAAGTTAAGTTAATAAATATTTCTCATACAACGTTAAGTCCAAATTTAATTCATAATTAAATATCTACTTATAATTAACTCTAAATAATTTCAAATGCAGATTTATTTCTTATTTTAAATCTCAAAACACTGTAAATTTTTATTTTTTTTTATTTTTAATAAAACCTAAATCTTATAATTTATTTATCATGTAAATATTAGGATGTTGCAACTTACATGCCAACAAATAGAAAGACGATGATCATTCTTGCAGGACGTTGCTTTTTATACAGCAACAAGGAGTAATTGTTTTTTTTTTTTGCCAGAACAAGGAGTAATTGTCAATCGTCTGATGTGTACAAATAAATAAGCTCATGTCACATTGAATCTCGTTTGGAAAATTCATCAAGGCTTGGATAGTAGAATTTCGTTAGGTTATTTTTCTAATTATTCTTCTGTTGTAAGTACGTAATTTTAAATAATTTGGGTATTAATGCACGGACCTCTAATCTCCATCAAATAAAAAAACGAGAAAGGAAAAGAACGAAAAAATGAAAAAGGGGGAGGGGAAAAAAGAAAAGAAAAGGAGGCGGCTAAAGTCCAGTTCCACGCGGCAAGATCGATCCATGCGCACGTTGGAGTCAGAGGTGTATTATCCTGTGTTAGCCACCTCATCGTAAACCAATTTCGTTATACTATCAAATTAACGGATTATGAGTTATGACCACAGGTAACACCTATAATCGATGAAATTATAAAGACACAATAAAAAAGGAAAAATATATAGAAACTTGATTAAAAATCAAGTGAAATTATAAAAATTGGTATATTAAATTTCCTGTAATCTTATCACTAAATTAAATACATATCAATGATGCTAAGTCGAACCCCTGCAAAACCAGCGAACCAATTATCAATGCATCTTTAATTGATAGATCCGCTCTATTTTTACGTTTCATAACTTGAAAAAAACAATGTTTACTCATTCCCTGAAGTGAATTTAAAATGAACGAAGTAGAGGTATATTTTTAAGCATTGCTGAAATTATATATATTTTTAAAGTAATTGATTTTAAAAAATGAAATTGTATAAATTTTCAATCTACTTTTAAAATTATTGGAATACGTTCTTTTAAGAATAATAAAATAAAGATTCTAATTAAAATTTTATATACCATCCTTTTATTTTCGAAGAATACATTAATTTTAAAAAAACGGAAGAGGAATTTATATAATAAAAAATAATTAAGAAGTACGTGCAATTAATTTTTATTTTAAAGGGTGTGTGGATTTTGAACCTTAAAATTTTAACTCAATTTAAGAGAAATTTATAGAATTCAATTTAAATTTTAAAATAAATTGGTGTTAATTTCAAAGGAGAAAAAAAAAGGGTCGATTTACTCATCGGAAATTAGTCATCCGCTTTCTTCTCTGTTATTATGGTTGTTGCGGAGGAAGGTAGAGCGAGACTTAAACCGCGTTCATGAGAAGATCAAAAGCAAGACTATCGAGCGGACAATAGAAGGCAGGAAAATCAATTTAAATTTTCAGGTCATTCGTTTTTCTGTCCCTTGATCAAATTTTAAGATAGCACCTGGAAAATCAAAACTCAGAGTATTACGTTTGTGTTGTACTCTCGGCATCTTATTTTAAATAAATAATTATCTGCCTAAACCAATTATTCTGTTCGCGTCTATCTTTCCAATTTTCCCTCACAAACACACAATACTTGTGTTTTCTTTCCACTTTTATATTCTGCCAAATGCTGCACCACCAAATAAGATCCCGTCGCACAATTGAATAAATAAAATATTAATCATATACAGTGAAAATTTACATATACATAACTACATGAGTAATGACAGGAGTCATCGGATCATCATCATCAACTTCGATTAAGACCATATCCATTGTCGCTCGACCAGAAAAACGGGGAGAGGGACTCTGCACTTATTTTCCCTCCCTCTCTCTCCATTTCTCAATCATCACCACCCATCAAACCAGCAAAGATCCTATTATCGACGTGTCAGCCTATTGACTTTTCTGCTTCCTCAATCCCTACTAGAGTTTAACAAACAACTGAGCAGAATCTGGATGCGGACGAAGATTCTCTCCAGTCTCTGCATATCCTGAATTCAAAGAACCTAATCATGAAATATTCTTAACTTTTACAACGTCCGTGTGAACGGAATATTAATCAAATCTGTCATCTAAGATGTGACAATAATAATCCTTCCCAATACCCAGAAACTTCCCGGCATCTTCGTGGCCTCGAAAGACAAGAAGGTAACCACAATTGAGATTCAAAAGCTTAGACTTTGGTGGCCAGTTCCCAGCTTCAAGTCTAACTCTCACGTTCATTCTCACGCTGAAGCTCACTGTCATCTTCCTCCTCCATTTATCCTGCACTTCTGCAAATACCTGCTTCTTCCCCAGCTCGCCAGAGCCCACCTCCATTACCATGCGAACCTTCACATTCGTCTCCCTCGTCCTCTCCAGGGAGATAGGAACTTGCACTGTACCCCAAGCAAGCTCCACCTTTTGATAGCTCAACAAAACGTTAAATTTGTCCAGGAACACGTCTATTTTCTTGTTGGGGTTGCTTATGTTGAATCCAATGTCGTACGTGCCTCTGAGCTGTGAATCAGACAAAGAGAAGTGGGATACAGAAGAGCACACCCGAATGCTTGGTTCGCGGGGGTTCATGACGAGCCAAGCTATGCCGATGACGCACGTTAGAAGAGCAAACAGCAAAACAACACACAAGGTGATGTTGGAGACACAGCTGGAGCCGCTGCTTGTCCTTGTTCTGCTGGTACCACGATTAACCTCTATCTCCATATCCTGTTTTGGTATGGAAAGTGGAAACACGGGACAGGTATGTATGTGGTATGATGTAAGGTTCTGCGCTAGCACTATTGGGCAAGACGCGCGGGCGTAAGGAGGGGGAGGCTGCAACATACAGAGCGCGAGATCGAGGGACGAACTTAACGGGTATTTAATTTAATTTGGAAATGGGGATTATTGTACTAATGTAATTTGTAAAGTCGAAGGATTTTACATGTAAACGAAAGTTGCCATGAAGCTTCCATGGACAGGCAGAGTAAAGTTTCGTCTCACGCGTTTTTTTTTTTTTTTAAATAAAAATATCCTCGCCATAGAGTGGATGGAGGGACGGCTAATGCACGTTAAGGTTTCACATCTTTTCCCCCCCTAAAATATAAATACCAGGGTTTAACACCTCTTTCTGATGCACATGATAAAAATTATAAAAATTGCATAGTTCCATAGAATAAACTTAACAGATATTTGAAAAAAAATGTATCATTTCCAATTACCCAAACTCAATTTTGGTCTTTCTCGGTTATTGAAAATTTTACCGAATGCAATTCATTCTCAACATTACTGATTACATTGGTTTCATTTACTTTAAATGGAAGTTTCATTTTCTAATCATTTGCTTTAAAGTATCACTATCTTTTATTGCTTATAGGTGCTTTTTTATTAGAGCTAATCTTATTCAAGCCATTAAATATGAATATTTTTTTTAGTGGAAGATGTTGTAAGGGACTAACTCCTTCCATTAAATTCAACTCCTATTGATATATAATTATTTTTAATAATTAAAAACCATATTTTTGTAAAAAAGAAAAACCACATTGCACCATTTGAAATAAATTTTATAAAAAAGACTCTGACAAACTCTAATGTATAAAAAGATCAGAGGCTTTTATCTTTTGCACCCATTCATTAGGTATTAGAGTGAATCCTTGTGCATTCATCCAAAACAAATCGCACTGGTCGATTCCTTATCTTTTTTTATATTTTTTAGGTATTTACTAGGGAAATCTAAAACACCTATTCTAGTCTACCAAATTATTCAATCAACAAGGCTGAATGAATTTTTTTTTTGTTTTGAATTTTAGACCTTGTTCTTCCTCTGGCTAATACCTATCCCTTTGTAACCGGGAAGGGAAAAAAAAAAAAACACCGTGCAACAGACTCTTTAAAAGAAGTAGTAGTACCATGTCATAACTTTAGCCAAGAAAGAAAATCAGATATGGGATTAGCTGGCTGCTTTCCAGATGGAAGAAATAGTGTACAGAATCATTGCATATTCACTTTAACAGAGGCCCCATCATATCCATACAACTTATGGTAACTTGGTAAGTACATGTTATTAGTTTTGTATGGTCAATATTTACAACAGCATCGGCACTTAAAGAATTACAAAAATGATGGGAAGAAAAAACAAAGTCTGTTTGATCTCTTAAAATTGAAGTGGTTCTCGAAATAGCTTAGAGCTAGTGAAGCAATTCTAAACATTACGGACATGCAACCTTACCGCGGAAGAAACATCCTTCAATCAGCGTCCACCATTGTCATCGCTCATCATTCCCTTTAAGCTCTTTGCCAACCAAATGGCTGTCTCTCTTGGAGATACCATATCTTTACCAAAGGGCTTTAGAACAACAGCAAGCTCCTCCAACCTATTTTGCTGCAGCAAGTCTGCAGACAACTCCAAGAGCCCTTCAAGAGCATCTGCTCTCTGCCTAAATGATTTAACATCCAAAATTTCTTTTGCTGGGGTTTCCTCTTCAGTCACTGAAGAGTCACATTTACTCAACTCGGGGGAATTGGATTTGGAAACTTGAGAAACAAGATTTTTCACGCCTTGTTCCTTGACACCGGAATGATCAGAGGCACTTGGTTTTGTGCTCAGAGCATCAACACAACTTGAAGATTTTAGAGATGGAGGAGTGCTCATGCTTCTTTCGTCGAAGTGATCAGAAAATTTTGACTTCAAGCTCCCAGCTTCAGAACAATTTGAAGAATTAAGGGTCGGAGGATTGCCCATGTTTCTCATTTCTAAATCTTCCCTTACAACATTGAGAAATTTACCAACATCCACGTTTTGAACTCCCATCTCCACAGATTCCTTTACTGGCTGCTCACTCCCAACACGATAACTGCTATGTCGTATAACATGGATGACATCATCAAAAGCTGGAGGAAGGTTACCAACAGCTGGCCTTTCTATCACTGGATTATGCAAAACGGTTCCTTTATCTTCGAGCGAGCCTTTTTGGCCATTGGTAGAGGTTATTGGTGAAGCAGTTTCAGCCACAGATGACAATCTTTCCCTCACAGTGAACTTGTCATCACCAGTGGACTCAAGCACGGGTTTTGGCTGGATCGATGTTTCGGGTGCATTATTGGGCTTGCTTACTGGAGCGACTTCTTCACTAACAAACTTTTCTCCAGCACTCAAGAGTGGAAGTTTCGGAGAGCTGGTTGAAGTCACTTGCTCAGTATTATCTTGAAGATCTTTAATTCCTTCGCTGGCTACAACAGAGGGATTTGTGGATCTATTATTACATGAGGTGGCAGCAGATATACTTGTCTGATCGATGTGGAAACTATCTTCAGAGGCCAATATTTCCTTGAAATATTGAGCAGAGTGATCAAGAGTTAAATCGGGACTTCCTTTCTCATTATTAGTAATTGTATTCTGAAGATTCCAGGCGGGTTCAGAGGCTTCCCTAGATATAGTTTCAGCCATCTGACGATACAAATAGGTAGCAGGTGGGCTGCTGTCTGGATATGATTTTATAGCTTCAATATGTGTTGCACTCCCATGATCAGAAGGCATCTGTTCTCTCATGTCAATAAAATTTGTTGCATCGTCAGAATGTTCAAATCCTCGAATAGAAACTGAAGACAAAACAGAATTACTGCTATCTGTCTGCATTCCTATGGAACATTTTTCAGAAGCCTTCTTAGGCTCAGTAATCTCCCCAGAAGCCCGTGGTATATGATCATTGGGTGAGTGATAATGACTCTTGTCTGGATGTGACTTTATAGTGTCAATATGTGTTGCGTTCCCATGATCAGAAGGCTTCTGTTCTGTCATGTCAATAAAATTTGTTGCATCATCAGAAAGTTCACATCCTTGAATAGACACTGAAGATGAAACGGAATTGCTGCTATCTGTCTGCATTCCTTTGGAACATTTTTCAGAATCCCTCCGAGGCTCTATAACCTCTCTAGAAGGACGTGGCATATCACCATTGGGCACCTTATAATGACTCTTGTCTGGCTCCTGAGACATATTTTTCGGACCAAACTTCTCTGTATCATTTGCTACATTGCGTACATCAAGCCCGACCTGCCTTATTCCTCCTCGAAATGAAGGTTGTCTAAGTAAACTAGGGGGGATCCCTTGCCTCACCTTGGCAGAAACTCCATCTCCTTCAACTTGTTTAATAGGACCAGATGGGGAAGTCGCATCATGTCTGGGTTTAGTTTTTGGTGAAGAGTCCATCATTAGTAGTGCCTACCAGAACACATTATGTAAATACAAGTAATGAATAACAGAATTTTGAGGAAATAATAAAAAAACAGCAAGCAGGAAGTAAGTAATTTCCAGTGGTGAAGTACCTGATTCTTTAAAGGATTTGACCTTGGCATTCGTTTTGGAGGATCAGGGGGTGTCTTTGCAGATGTCAAAGTTGGAGACTCTAAATTTGGCTTGATACCAAAAGCAACAGCACTAGGCTTCGGCAATTTAGGCAACGTATCTGTGTTTGTTTTCTGTGTTGATGCACTTACAGTCTTAATACGGTTACCTCTCATTGGAGAACCATTTTCTCTAGCCTTTCCTTCTTTTAGTGCCATCATTATGTTTTTAATTGTTCTTGGCTGCTTAGGTTCAACAATTGATTGACGTTCATTAGATGATGGTTTCATCACCTCCTGGCAATCTGCTTTGGCATTGCTGGCGCTGGAGCTATTATCTTCTTCACTAGGCAGGATATGCTCAGAGCCATCCTCATCATCAATGTAGGCAACATCTGTCTCTGTGGTTTTGACATTGCATTTCAGCACCATTGTTGAAATGATTTTGTCATTTGACATTGAACTATCTTTGTCGCTGCTAGAACTGCTACTGTTTTGACTTTCGGCCATATTTCTTCGAGGATCATGGGTAACAGGAAAAGGCTTTTCAGGAGAACAGGATGTTGGAGGACTAAAAGATGGTCGATACTGTTCAACATAAGATTGCAAATAAGGATGCTTTAAGATCTCAGATGCCTGCCCAAAATATGAAGCCAGATTCTCAAGTATAAGTACCAACGGTAAATCTAAATTGTTTTCACGTTGGAAATAAAATTATTCTCCAGAGATGCTTACAGTCGATCGGTGCTCAGGATTTTTTCTTAGCATGCCCTTTATCAGCGTTTTCCTGCATGTACAAGACTAATGATGTAATGATAATAATGTATACTTCAGCGCACACTCAGAGAGAGAGAGAGAGAGAAGAACCAAGAGGCATTGGTCCTAGTGGAAAAGACTATGGCCGTTTAGTTACAAGGTCTAGCGTTCGAGCATGTGTCGATACAAAAAACGCCTTTGAGAGAGTTGCCCCCAATTAGACCCGACAATGCTCGAATATGAAGCAAGAGATGAATGATCTGAGGAAAAAGTGTTCCTAGATGGCCTTTATTTCATATTAATTTATTTATATTAAGTCAAAACTTTAATTTAATGGGTTAATTAGTAAGATGAAACATCTAGTTAAGAAGCAAAGCCTCTAGACCATTAAATGATGCTTCCACTTAATTGAATAAAGATGCCTCTTGCTAGGCTTGCTAGAAGTAGTAATCGGTGCTTTCTGCTAAGGAAGGAACCACTTAGTTGAGATAAAGAACTTGTGCACCCCTCTCCTTAATAACAACCAGCAAAACCATCCCTTGGACAAAAAACACAAGATCTTCTTACATGTCCTTTGCATGTTATGCTTTGGCACAAGAAGCATTTGCATCTCCCCAAGCCTAGGACAAGCAATGCAAGTGTCAGCTTCCCCAAAAAATTAGTTGCCTATGACAGCTAGTCCCCGCATAGTCACCAGTGGCAAAGTCCGTCTATTAAGTGCTCAATGAATTCGTCCCTTGGATAGTAAGCAAGTTACCCCACCCCCCCCCCTCCATTTCCCCTAGAAGTTGAGGTGAGGGGGACTGTGATAAGATCGTTTGCTCCCCGCACTTCCCTAAAATTCAACCTTCTACCTAGTCCATTATACCATGCATCAAGTAAAGTCACAGTCAAAGCTCTCTTGTCTTGTTAAAGATTTGCCAGAATGCTTTCACTTCTTCCCTACTAAGTTATCCAGTGACTGGTCCCACTTAAATTACTCATTACTTCCTAAGTTAGAACCCCCAATTCCTGGAATAACCATATTTCACGTGCCTTTTAAAATCGCTTTGATTGTTAATTAATCCACATGCAACGAACACCATGAAAAATCACAATTTTGAGAGGAATGCAAAGTTGGGATAGTGCAACAAAACGGAAACATAACAAGGTGCTCTAATGTCCCCACGCAGAAACAAAAGGACGTGCATACAGCATACATAATTATTATCATGTAGATCCTGCTGTCATCACCAGGGAAAAAAAAAATCTTAGAAGATTGTGAGTTAATCTTTGGCTTCAATATACTAGGATATTAATCCCATGAAAGTAATTAAATAGAAACTTACAGAGACGGGGAATAACAGGGAGGCAAAGGGCCAATGGAGGAACGATTTATCTTGCTTATTAATCCCGCCATATCCTGAAACAAGATATACCACACTATTGTAAAACATCCATAAAACGTACCAATTGCTCCACATGCACATGTATCTATATATATATTGTGAAGAATCGCGTGAAAAGCATGAAAGTGAAAAGGATAGATCACCCAGAATCTCTAATTAACAGCACTATAGAAAAATGTTGAAATTAAATTTCACACAATACCATGTCACTACAATAAACAAAAAGCAGTTACAGCTGATTGTAAAGTAAGATTAATTTTCAAACTATACCAAAGACATTAGAACAGAAAATACCCAATATGTCACCATGGTTGCACTGGTTACTTCACAAATGCTTTAGTAAAAAAAATGATCAGCAACCTAATTCAGCACTGCAAATTTATTGGACCATATATAAAAATTTATATCCTATACTTTCCACAGTCCAAAAATGTCACTTTACCAACTTAGAAGAAGAAATGAGATATTATATCATGTGTAACTTGAGCACAGTGCATTAACTGAATTGCCAAACAAGACAAAAATAATAGTAGATGATATCAATTGAAAGATCAGAGATCTTACGAAAGCTTTAAAAGCAGGGCGATGAGCAGCCATCTCATATATACAGCATCCTGGACAGTGAAAAAATATTTTAGCCAGGGCAAAGCCCAATCAGTAAGTATCTGATATTTATCACAAAAAATCACATACCTAGCGACCAAATATCAGATTTAAATCCGTAAGGAATGTCTGCAAGCAATTCAGGACACATGTAATTGGGAGTTCCTACCACCTGCACACAAGTGCACAAAACAAATTCAAATTCCACACCTTGTAATATGCATATGGAAACCCTTGTAATGTTAAGAATTTAAATAAAAACTGACTTAATAACAACTGGATGGCAAGGTGTGTAGGCACAAGGCAACTAAATAAGCGGATAATTATCAACCCAAAAGGGGGGATAATAATTTCAGCTAAACATCATTGACCACACATTTTAAGTCCATGGCTCAACCAATAGAGTTCACAAGATAAGAGTGATGTGCTTTCAAGATGGAAAACCCTAAACTATTAATTCTGCTTATATTAACATATGGTGTTAGCATGTGAAGAATTCATCAATTCCAAGGAAACTTGACAAGTCAAACTAAAAAGTAACAAGGTCTACTATAAATTCTTTGAAACTTTCAAATGAATATTTAAGATTGAAAAAGAACACAGCCATTAGTATCCCAGTTCACACTTACCGAAGAAGCCAGATCATCTGCTTTCAAGGTTTTAGCAAGCCCAAAATCCCCTACATAAATTCCAGAAATTTACAGACAAATTTAGGAAGAAATTTTTATAAGTGTAATCAAATGACTGCAGATTATCTCACCTAGGCGAATATCATGATCCTTGGTAAGAAAGATGTTGGAACACTGCAGATAGTAAACTGATTAGTCTCTAAATATTAACAATAGAGCACCCAAAAAAAAAAAAATCCTCAAAACATACAGTTACTTCGAATTAGCGTACCTTCAAGTCACGATGCAAAACAAAGTTAGCGTGCAAGTATTCCACTGCCAACAGTAACTGGGTAAACCACTTACAGAGTTTCTGGGCAAGCACAAAACTTCAAATGTGAGTCACCATAAAAATTGATATCCAATTCAAGGCTCAAGAAAAGCAAATGCATATGTTATATATACATCCATAACACCATAATACCTCCTCAGGAAAGTGAACCCCATTTGATTTTTTCATCAATTCAGCCCTGTTACAAAATTTGAAAACATACATACAACTTAAGTACTTCAGCATATGACTTCCACGTAGTGAACAAGATGCTTCAAGGTTTTAGGCATTTTCAGTTACTCACATGTCTCCGCCTTCACAGTATCCAGTGACAATGCAGACATAGCAACCCTACATTGTAAGTAAAATACGCTTAGTTAAAACGAAAACAGTTATCACAGTTTGATTTCTAATTTTAAAGCAGATAGTGAATTATAAGAAGCAACTGCAAGAAACTTAAGACTACGACCATGCAGAAAATGAACTTAGGGGTATTCAGTATCCTCACCTTCTCAACCCATGCCTCCTTAAATTCCACGATGTAAGGGTGCTGGATTCGGGCAATAAGAGCCATCTAGAATATCCAGAAGGCGCAATGGTTAAATGCCCAAAAGGCAAAAGCGTACTTTAGTTACGAGGTAAATAAGCAGGCAGGGATTAGAGACCGAACGCACCTCTTGATGCGCAGATCTCCTGCATCGTTCAGTCTGTCGCGCAAGCCTGATTTTCTTCAACACATATCTGCAAAACATGAAACGTAGATTCAGCTGTCAAATGTTGAACCTACTCTTCAGCGAACATAGCTTCCATACACTGCATTTGAAAGGGAGCCAAAAAAAAACAAAAAAGCGGTGCTTACTTCTTTTTCTCAGCCTTGTGATGGACTAAAATAGCAGCTCCAAAAGCACCACGACCGATCTGCTCCATGATCTCATACTGATCCATCCGAGACTCCATTGTTCGCGATCCAGTTCAACAAAATGCCTACTTCTTTCAACCAAAAATTCAGAACCAAGGACACAGGCAAAAACGGGAATCAAATACTGCAAGCAATTGATTTTCACACCATTTCTCCCTTCTCCCTCTAAAAATCGCCTAACAGAAACAGAATGCTTCTCCGATCTCCGGCAGCAACTCCGAAATCATTTCCGAATAAAGTAATACAATGCCGAAAAAGATGTCGTGTGTGCCCAATGCCGCGATTTACTGGCTCTACATTGCTTCCGAGAGCGAGTCGCTAACAAGCCAAAACTTCTCTGATTTTTATCATGTCTCCCAATTCTTGGCTGCGACGTGTGGATTCTCGTGCTTCGGCTTCAGCCCACAGTGCCTCACTCAACAACAATAATGGCAGCAGCAGCAAATAAAGAGGGTAGTTAACGTTAGGAAAGTTACAGTGAAGTTTTTTGAAGAGAATTTGTTATCTGAATTTTTTTTCTGGGAAGTTAAAGGGAAGCTGAACCAAATTAGGAAGAATGGAGTAGTCTCTCTTTCTTAGCTGAGCTCGATCGAGAGAGAGAAGCTCGTGGGTATGCTTGGGCTATACGCCGACAGTCACAGCTGGTCTACCAGCTTGCGAGCTTTCAACATTTTTTTTTTTTTTGTTTAAAATTAATTTTGCTCCTTTCCCTTTCCTTCAAACGCATTAATGGCAAGATAATAATAAGGGGCCATTTCCATGGAGGATGTCACCCTCATGGGAGAAATATCAATTTCATCTTCTACCCCCCTTTTTTTAATCAACTGAGGGATATCGCTCTGGCTTTCTTGTTCACATGTGTGCCTGCCTTATTTTCCTTGTTTAGTCGAGTCTGTGTTGATAAAACATTCTTTTAAATGCAATTTAACTTACAAGTCCGTTAATTTAAAAAAAAAAAATACTCAAATTGGGTTACGAGGTGAGTTTAGTTTGGAGACCCAAATCATGTAAATCCAATTCCCTTTCAAGGCTCATTTAAATGGATGTTTTATTGAACTTCGCTCCTTAAAATTTGCTAAATTGAATTTTATAAATTGAGTTTTTTCAAGGTTATTGTATATCACTGACATCAAAGCATGCATTTACTTCCCTCTTAAGTTTTGAATTATAGAGATAAATAGAGCATAGTTCACCTGTATCAAGTTTGGATTCAAGGTGCTTTGGCTTTATTGAAATTCTTGAAAACATGAATTCATGTGTATCAAACCACTTAACTTTATGATTCTAATTTTATTTTTATTTTTTTACCAATTCTAAACTATTTCCTCTATCTCAAATTTAAAAAAAAATTGAACAAAATTTTATATATTAATAAGGCTCATTAATTTCACTTAACAACTTCATTTTTTAAAATAAAAATATAAACTTTTAAAAATACTCTTCATTTAATAACATAAAATCTACACTACTTAATTATTAAATATAGATAGATAAATGATAATATTAAAATAAACCTATTTAATAAAAATTTAATATTTTTAAAGTATATTATATTTTTAGACGTTGAATTTTCTCTAAAAGTATTTTATAATTTGAAATGGAGATAATATCAAATATAAGTAATTTATCATGTTGTGAAAGCCTAACTTCTTTTACAATATTGCTCAATATATTAGTGGTGTTTGATTTGATTTTAGATAATGCCTGTTTGAATTGAGGGATTAATCAATTTTAGGGACAAAAAAATCAATTAAAGCAAAATTTATTCAAACACCAACTTTTTTCCAATTTTTCCCACAGCTGCATGATTTAGCTTCTGCGCTCCTGTATTCTTTTTTTTTTCACAAAGTTATATGAAAAAATTATATAAAAGATCTAAGAAAAAAATCACAACAAAGCATAAAATTTAATAAAAATAAAATAAAACTCTCTTCTATTTTTTTAAGTAAAATTTAAATTTTGAATCCTTAAAAAATTACTAACATAAATATCCAAATAGCTTGTGTTATAATATAATTAATTATGATTAAAATTTATTATTTAATTAATTATTTTTATAATTTATTATATTCAACTAAAAATTCAAAACGGGTACATAGTTGTCCTAAAACAATCATGTGATTTCTTCTTTAACCTCCGTTATCTAATACACCCTAATGTGTGACCAAAAAAGGGGAAAAAAAAAAACAAAAGAAAAGAAGAAAAAAAAACCTTGCGGGAGTCAGCTTTACATGGGGGAATTTTTTCGGTGGGATGGATGTGACGGGGTTGAAAGAGTTGTGGGGAAATGGTTTGTTATTTTTTTTTATCTGAAATGGTTTATTAATTTACAGTCTGTTATCTGTTTATCTGGTGACCAGAAAGTTCAATATTTGAAATTTTTTATACTTTTATTATACTTTTAAAAGAAGAAGTTAAACCATTGTTTACATTGATGAAAATGAAAAGCAATCATTTGCCCAATACCTAACCACTTTTGGTTTTCGTGTTTATTTTATTCACTTAAAAATAATATGAAAAATTAGGGAGAGAGGTCTAATGCTATTAACATTTATCATGAAAGATCATAAAAATTAAAATTAAGATAAAGGACCAAGGTAAGTGTAATTGATTATTATAATCTTCATCTAAAATCTGTTAGGCTCAAAATTAGCATGAGGTCTTGCTAAAGTTATAAAAGTACTCCCTTAAAAATAAGGATATATGGCAAGCAAAAAAAAAAAGAAGGGGGAATGTGCAGTTTTAAATTTCCCAGCAGCAAATAAAAGATAGCATTAAATTTAATTAAAACAATATAATTTAAAAAATTTTACTTTTAAATAATTGAATCAATATATTTTTTTTAAAATCTTTACTTTTAAAATTTAAATCAATGTAATTTAAAAAAATTATTTTAAAAGGATTATTCAATTTTGTAAAAAACGCGCTGTTTTAATCTTTGGGCTTGTAGATTTTGAAGAGAGATGATGGCAATATAATTTTTTAATTTATATTTTGATATTTGGTCTTTCTAAATGATACTCACTCCGTTTAAAAATATAAAATATTTTTTGAGGAGTTGGATATTCAAAAAAATAATACATTGTTAATTTTTTAAGGTGTAATCATTATCTTTTTTTTTAAAGTATGCTTATTGATAATGACTTTATATTTATTGTAGGGTGTTTAATAAGAATAAATATGAAAAAATAAAATTAGTTTGAAAGTAGGTAACAACTTTTTAGAATGTGAGATTTGGTTAAAAATGTCTTATATTTTTAAATGGAGGTAGTTATTATTTTTAAAATCGTTTTTAATGAATATTATTTTCTTCAGATCTTTTGTTATAATTTTCCCAGATAATATTAAAACGCTTTCATCCCATTTCAAACACGTTACGCTCCATTAACTATTAACAAGAAGTTTAACTGTTCCAAACAGTGAAATGTCAGCGATCATAAAATTAATATCTCACTTCCCATCCAAAATTTCAAGGGAAAGTTAAAAAAAAAAAAAAAAGAACTTATTAGAAGAAGGTGATCATGGAAATTTATGTGCGGAGAGGAAATGAGCTTGATATATATATATATATATATATATATATTTTGCCAACAAGAAAATGAGCTTGATAAATTTAAATTAATATGAACGATAAAAAAGTCTTATCATTTAAATAAATGGTTGAAATTTGACTTTTAACTCTTATATTAGGTAACATTAATCGAGAGATGTCTACTTTTTATACTCAGTGCTGCTAGAAAAATAACATTTTTCGCTTGTGAAGGTACTCTTTCTTCTTACCAACAGAAAATGAGCTGGAGGACTAATAAGATAAATTGACTTTTTCTAAAAAAATCAAAATTTAAAATTACGTGGAAGATCAAGACTAAAATTATTTTATTACAACTTTTTAAAGTTATTGCTTATTTTTTAAGTTACAACTTAATTTTTCACTGAAAAAAATACTCTTGATTGGTAATTTCAAGAAGAGAGATTGATGTAATTTTGAGCATCGTTAGTGATAAAAAAAAAATCCACTAGTAAAGTCACTCAAGCATGCAATTTTTGAATGTCATTAACTTATCTTTCAATATATCGAACATTTTTTGTGGCATTTTCTTTAGAGAGAGAAGGGTACGTCTTGCACACTAAAAATGACTTTCTTATATTCCATTTTTATAAGAAAGCGATGGGCGAAAAAGGACCAAAAAATGGACTTTTAGCATGTGGGGAGAAAAGCAATATTTGTTTTCGAGAGCAGCGTGTGAGCGAAGTTAAATTTTCCTCATTGGAGTCTCGCCAAGGAAATAAAGGAAAAGGTTTTTCTTGTATAGTTATAACTAATAAGCCACGAGAAAATATAAATATAAATGTAGCAAATTGTTGTGGCAACCCCTAAAAATGAGTAGCCACACAAATAAATACAAATACCCATGTAATGAAATAATTTGTTTAAAATCTCATCCTCTCATGCTTTTTGGAGATGCTGATGTTTTAACGAATATTTCTATGATTGAATTCATCAATTTCATAGTACACTACATCAATTCTACTTTGTAAAGCACTGCGATTTGATTTTACACGAACTCTAAAATACTGTGACTAAGATTTGAATTCTCTACGTGCATTTACGATAACACATATTTATATCTAATTAATTAATTAACAGCCAATTACTTCAGAATGTTTAATGGAATTTTGAGATCAGATAAATGTTACAAATTTTGATTGGCGCGTGCATGTGCAAAAGTATAAATACGAATGTACCCTTTTAACCTGTCGTATTTGCAAATACCAAACAATGTCGTATAAACAAAATCGAATCAAAAACATATTTTAATTATTTGCATTTCAAGTCTCATATACTCAAACTTGGAATTTAAGAAAGGAGAAAAGTCCACACGGGAGAGGACAACCCGTTTCGTAGTGAGATATGGTCCTCAATTTCTCATCCATTTACTCACACAACAGTTGCCTCTACTTTATCAATGGAATAATGGGCTTCCCCATAATAAATCAGTAGTAATTGTGGCTCAACATTTTCTTCCTTGACTTCAAAATTGCCCCACAAGATTAATAATATTTTAAGGAGATCCCCGTCCATGTAAGGTAATAAAAAACTTGGTTGAAGCATCCATTCAGCCACACACCACCCACGAACCGGCAAAGATAATCCGATTCACATGTACTATTCAACAGAACTAAAATCTGGTGCACATTTATTTTGATACAATGTAGCCTTTTCTTTTCTTTTGTTTTTTTTTTTTTTGGGTACATAATACAATGCAGCTTTGTTCCATGTGCTCTTTATTTTAAACTCTACATATAGTCGTAAATTTAAACTATCGCTTTCTTATTACCTAATTTTAAACTCTTATTTCTTTGTGATGCACAAGTATTCGCCCATATTTCAATAATTGTTTATACCATGTATCATTCTTGATGAGACGTGAAATTCAAGTAAATTTATTAATCCCCTGAAGTTGAACTGTTTCTTTTCCTTACATAAAAATTATCAACATAATCATAAACGTTGCAACAAATAATCAGATTTATCCATTATAGTGCTTTTCTTTCCCATCATTGAAAAAAATTAACCACCAACAGACAGAAATGATGAACTAAAGATTTTTTTTTTTAAAAAAATGTAAATAATCAGGAAGAG